TCTTTTATTCACTAGTAATGTGCCTTGGAACGTGCTAAAAATGTGACTTCTTTAGGAAGAGTCAATTCTCTAGTAAAGCCCCCTCCTTCCTTGCACATCACAGTCCTCTTCTCTTTTGGGACTCTGTGCTGGCCCAGCTTTTTTGCCCCTCCCTTGTAGCTGCCAGGGGAGCATCAAATGAGAAAACTATAGAGCAGAGGTCTCAAACTCAAATGACCTGGGGGCCACTGGCGGCCAGGGGACAGAGCGAGGAGAGGCGGCCAGGGGACAGAGCGAGGAGAGGCGGCCAGGAGAGTATGCACTTCAAGTCTTATCTACACCCTGCGTTTCAGGCACCTCCTTGCTCCCTAAGTTCCAGCATCCCTCCGTGTCCTGTGCCTCCTCCATGCACTCACGTTGGAACACAAGGACCCTGTGACTGCCACTGTCCCGCTGACATTGTAACATCTTGTGTCCTGGTTTCAGCTGGCCTGAAACCTGGACACGACACATACAGGACTCAAAATCTGGGTGAATCCCGGACAGTTGGCAACCCTATGGAGAGGTCACAGCTTATGTAATTTTGTTGAAATGACTGGTCTGGTGAAAGGGTCTCTCTAAATCTAATTTGTACATTTTAGGCAACAATGAATGAATCCCAGTAAATGTGTGCATTTTTTTAATTTAAATTTACCGGAATTTTATGCATGCAAAGATCAGAAGTCATTCAGGACACTGAAAGAAGACTAACAATTGACTGCTTAAAGCAGCACTGCACTTGCCATTATGTTAAATAGTAACCAAACATAAAACAAAGATAACATAAAGAAATTAATTTATTTGTCCAAGAATATTCAAAAAAAACTGCCCTGCCTCCTTCATGCAAAGCCTTAACATCACCCAATAGCCTGAAAGTGACAATAACTCAAAACAAAAAATAAAACTCAATAACTCAAAATGGTCACAGTGTTTCAATTCAGAGTGTTCTGCACATTGTGTCAAGAAGTATTGTAGCTTCTGTACTACAGAATCACAGATACAAATGTGTCACATTCAGAAGTCTGTGAAGAAATATTTATAATAAATTTGATTTTTTTTTTTTAATACATGGAAAATGGAGCTTATATACTACAGATTTAGGGCAGATGTCATGAGAGAATCATGGGTGGTAATACATCTGCCCGTCCTTGTATAGATAGTATGTCACCACGGCCAACTTGTGACAACTCTGTTAATAGATAGCTGTGGTACACACATGATAAAAGCTTACGTCCCAAGTTTTACCAAAAGTATGGAATTGATTACAAAGAAAATGTTCAAAACAAATGAAAGTCACAATTATGTTCATTTCCAACTAGGTAGGGACTTTTTATCCCACCTGTACACAGCCTGATTGTTTGCAGGAGATGCCCAAACAGGTTGCTGTGCTGTCTTGGCATATTAAAACATGCATATCCATTAGCAGGAAGATAATAGGAAAAGATACTCCTGATTATCTCCTGTTGGGAAATCTCACTGCAATTGGGCCCATACATAGTAGGAAAATGCAATGTGTGTCCCGCTGTCACAGCCAGGGGAGAATTGTGCCAGGTCACAGTGCTACACACACTTGCTCAAGGACAGGTAGCTGTCTCCCCACCAGGAGATATCTCCTATTCTTGGAGATATCTCTCTGTCTATGTTCACTCACTTTGTCACTTAACATGACTGACTGAAAATCAAAAGAACAAAAGATATATCTATGCAAATTAATTTGAGGACTACAGAATGTCAGACTGTTGTAAAGCAAAACTATAAGTTTTAGGATTATCTAGTTTCATGTGAAGGGCCAAAATGCTGAGCAGTCCTAACCCTTTTGTCCTCTCCAACAGCCTGTCACCAAACAGAGCTGTTTTGAATTCTTGAATTTTTACTGATGATTTAGCCAAAGAAAAGGTCCCAGTTGAAGGTCACATTTGTATATGGCCAACTTGGTACAAGGCATGGCTCTGAAATAAAATAAATGGAAGAAAGCAGAGTACTGTATTCTTGAGGCTCTACAGTTTTTTTTTTTGACCATCCACTGTATTCAATAAAGAGTTGAAAAGTCTAATACAAATGGCGATAACTCTGAGCGAGATGAGTTTTCATTGCTTGAGTAACATTTTTGAATTTCACTATCTACCAGTGAAATAAGTTATTTTATACCCAACCAATAACATTTTCTAGGGTGTTTGTGTCAAGCAAAGACACTGTTTCATACTTGGCAGCTTCATTAAAATGACAATAAACTCAAGAGTTAGATCTTAAAAATGGATTTAAGTACCTTTAACTATTAACAAAAATATAACTTATTTGTGTATCACTCGGCTGTAGATCCTCCTATCATCTCTGAATTGGTGCTGACACTGTCCTTCCGGAGGGTGACTACTTTTATTCCCCATGATCCCTGTGTGTTGTAAAGTAGCCACCGCTCCAAGCTCACTCCCGTGATGGGCTACAATCTCAATATAAATTAGTAAACTAAACATAAGATTGTAGTACATTACGGGAGTGAGCTTGGAGTGGCTACTTTACAAAACACACAGGGACCATGGGGAATAAAAGTAGCCACCCTCCAGAAGGAAGGACAGTGTCGGCACCAATGCAGAGATGATTTGAGGCTCTACAGCCGATCGATACACAAATAAGTTAGATTTTTGTTACTGGTTAAGGTACTTGAATGCATTTTTAAGATTTAAAGGTGAACAATGGGGTAACCTTTCCCCCCCCCCCCCCGATAGTTCTGTTTAGGGTCACGGGAGGATGTTAGTATAGTTAGTATATACCAAAACCCTAGTATATAGCAGACTATTGCCCGCTATATGCTGAGAGCACCGCAGCCGTGGCGGATACTGACAATACTGTCGAGAACCACCCCGCTGGCTGATTGACAGCGGACTCTGCCTATCTAGAGGCAGAGCCAGCTATGCCCGCCCCCTCCCCTGTCTGTTCCTCCAGTCAGACCTAGAGCATCGGAAGGAATCCCATGTGGAGTGGTGACTGACAGTGACTGCATGGAGATGATCGGGAAGTGAGTGAGTGGTGGTATGTGTTCGCCCACTTCCTGATCAATAGAGCTGACGTGTGACAGTTTCAATGTCACATGTCGGCTCTAACTATGGGGATGACTGTAATTTACTCACCTCATAGTTCTCCTGAGTTTGGTATCACTTTAAAGTATATGTATAGCACAAACTTTTCGTTTTGCATAGAATGTGAAAGGGATAAAGCCCCGGTCAGATTATTTTTGCTGCCTGTGTCCTGCTGGGGATTTCCTTTTACCTTCTGTTTTAGAGACAAAACAGGAAGTAAGAGGAGATCTCTTCAGAGTGAGGATAATTCCCATCTTAGACATTTGTCAACAGATTACACGTCTCCCATTGGAAGAATTCCACTTACCTCTTGCTGTCATGACCACTATTAAATTTTACGTAAATGGTTAGTGACAATGGTCATCAGGACAAATGAAGAGGGTGAATCTTCCCCTCAGTGACACAGGCTGCAATTAAAACACGTCAAAAGGTCTAACCCTTCTTTAATCCATCCAAAACTAAAAAAAAAGTGGTTTTCCTTTACATACACTATAATTATCAAGTAATAAAGGCGCTGAAATACAGATATCATGAAACATCATATAGGGCCTTGGTATGATCTACACATGTAAGTCAGAAGTCTAGTAACTGTAAAGAAGAGAAGAGGAGTGCTAATGGAATTTCTTGGTTTAAGAAAATCTCATCATATTTCTTGGTAAATACATTCATTTGACTTCATGGCTTCTACTGTTTCCAGGAATGGAGGAAAACAAAATATGACAAGGTTCTCTCTAAATAAAGTCTTGTATTAATGAATCATGACTTACAACAATGACCAGAAAAAAAACAAAAAAACAGTGACAAATGTGTTTCATTTTTTGTTTTCAAACAAGTACTCGACAGAGCAGGGCTCAAGCTGATGAAAACATAACCAAGGATTAACTAAAAGAAAAAACTAGTGGTACCCAGGCCCAAGAAATCCGTCACCATTTCTCATATAAAGTCCTGAATAATGCTACCCTCACCTATATACAAGGGTGCCACCATTTTGTAGGCCCGGCGTGTTCCTGAAATTGCAGCCTAACTGCACACTGCCAATCTCACCCATGTCTCTAGCTCCCTAGTATGATGAAAGGCTGAGGGTAAGAGCGAGGCGGGATTTGACCCAACATAAAGATGTGAAGGGAATCATTTATGAATGAAGTACGTGTATGTAAAGACTTAGGTAGGATCTGCCATTCTTTGACTCCCAGCTTAGTCCTGGCTCAGGGGAGCCAATCCCACTAAAACATAATAGGTTCAGCTTTGCTGATCTGAAACTAGCATGTAGCCTTTAAGCCATAATGGAAAGTTCCAACAAATGCTTGACACACAGGTACTCTGCTTCAAGACAGGTCCCCTTTAGGGATCTGTGAAACCCCTATGATTATACCTTTCACTACTCTGGATGTAGCCATAACAGGGTCATTTGGGCTTGTTTCTCAAGCAACACTGCTAAGGTGGTCCTCATAGCATCTAAAGGAAGACATTCTTATTTGTCCATACAGACAGCAATAGCTCTTTCACCGGACACTTTGATAACAGAGGTCCATGACCAACAAGGATGTGAGTGATAACAGTAGTATCACTAGCTCATTGCTGGACTCTCCATAGGAATATATGGAGAAACAGGTAGGCCAAAGTAACAAAGCTAGTCTACGGAAAGCCAAGTGAACCCCGCCACAGCCACAATGAAGGTATGGGGACCTTCCCAATGGAAGGTCCCCATACCTACCTGTGGGCAGTTCTGGGGCTAATGCTGCCTCTTTTCACCCAAACAAAGCAACCATGGGTCGTGGGTTGTGCCCGAGTCCAAAAAATGGCTGTCAGGTGTGTACAGGCAAGAAGTCCACTTAATGTCATCTAGAACCTAGCATATCTCACACACTATACTCTAAACTGCATGAACAGTTATATACAACTTATATATTTTACTGCACGGGATTGAGATTTTTGTACCTGTCCATTCACAAAACCACGCGACATAAAAGGAAACAAGTTAATAAATATACAGAGTTCCTGTTTCGCCGTCCTTCAGGTCAAGCATGTTTAGCCATGGAGCCATTTTCATGGTCACAGTGCAAGGTATCCCGGTGTCATGGATGGCAATGTAATGCTGGAAACATTCCTTCTTATCCCAATGCATTTGGTAAACATATCCAGTAGGCCCGCTCATGCATTTATCATTGTTATTGCACAATACATGAGGACCAGGGAAATCTTGGAAAGTGTAAGAGAAAGTAAAATGGAATTCCGTCCTGACATCTGCATTTATCCAGTATGACTAACAAAGCATGTCAGCTGCATGTGCTGAGACAGCTATCAACATGCGCCACGATGCACACTAGTAAAAATGCAGTAAAAAGGAAGTAGTCTTCATTTTATTCAGTCACCTCCAGTTAAAGTTCAAAGACTTGAAGGATCAAAGTGCTCATGTATTCAGTAGGATATCTTTTTCTAGAGGGGCTTGAACCTGGCATCAACATGTGTCATCTGTCAAAAGAAAAACAAGACAGAAGATAATACGATTCAGAACCTGACAGACATAAAAAGCAAAATACAAGAAGAAAAGCATTGTAGTTCCGGCTAGAATTATGTATATGTTACACATTGTACTGAAATATTGGTTCCGGGTGGAATGATTCTCTTCAATATCACGCACCCACCACCCACTCTCCCAACCATTTGAGTCTGCTAGATTAAAGAACAATGGTCAGTCATTTTTACTTCGGAAAATGCTATTTACATAGTTGGTTTGTGTTAGTTACCTGGAAAATGACAATGGATCAACATTACAGCCTGCCAACTAGCAGAAGCTGCCATCTACATATTTGTACCTGTACAGGTTTATTTAGCTTCCCTAATACTCTTACATTAAAGCAGAACTCCTGCCAAAACAATTTACAGCTCATTAAAATAAAAAATGCACTTTTTCTTGTAATAGTCATTATCAATCCAGAGCTGTCCTTAATGGTGATTCTTTTCCCCCTCTGGATGTCCTCAGTCTTTGAGTTTTAACGACATGCAGCGTCTTTCAACCCACATCTTCGGAGCCTAAGTTGTCATCACATAGCCTGGGATCAAAGTATTACAGTAGACTGCTCACATGTTATCACATGAATGCCATCAATGCAAGGACTTTCCCCCACCACTGCCCGGGGAGCAGAGGGAGTACATGTGTCACCTTTAGACTGGCAGTCCTAAAAAAAAAAGGTGCAATAATTCTTCTTTTAGAAGAAATGTTTTTGGAAACATTGTTGTTTAAAGGGAACAGTCTTTTACCAGATAGAAAGTGAATGAAAATCCGCAACAGGAGAACAGACAACAATAAAACGCTGTCAGAGCTTCTAGCATTCCCCTACTTAAAAGAGAACTATGGCCCAACATTTTCAGCCATAGTTCTCTTTGGGGTCACAGGAGGACATTTACTATGTCCTCCTGTGACCCCAAACTCAGCATATAGTGGGCTGACAATGCAGAGCCGGGATCCACCTTGCCACCTGTATTGTCGGGATCCACCTCTACACCTGATTGACAGCTGGTTCTGCCATCTGCTGGTTTGAAAAAATAAACAAAAGCTTATGTGCAATAAGGCATATATACCACTATAGCGGATTGTTCTAATGGAAGTCTATTGGAGCGAGGTTGGATTGCTAATTATTGTTAAGGCATATATACCAAACACGGAAAACAATTATACATTTTATTTAAGCAAAAAGAGGCATTATGTAGAAGTACCGTATACACTTACCGTGGTACCACCATTTTGTTTTCTTTGGATTTTTGTTGCACGTTCTTACATAAAAGGAATTATCTGGAGGTCTCCTCTAAAGAAAAAAGAAATGATAAAAATGAATGTAGCTGTGCTTTGCAAATAGTGCTAAAAGGAGAAGCCACCTTTCTGCTACGTGAACATCAAGTATAAACAATTATTTCAGGGTTATTCAGGTACAGGTACTAGGAAAGTATTTGCAACTTAAAGGAGAACTATGAGATTAGTGATTTTCACTCACCTCATAGTTCTAGCCGACCTGTGAAAATGAAACTGTCACAGGTCGGCTCAGTAGATCGCGAGGTGAGCGAACACATACCGGCGTTCGCTCACCTCTCGATCCTGTCACGGCTCTCTGCTGGATTCCCCCCTCCCCCCTCCGCCAGCGCTGACAATGGATCCAGAAGCAATGCTTTGAGTGTAGGAAGGAAAGTGGGGCTAGGAATGTCACAAGTAAGGAGATAATCACTAAGTTGCAAGGGGAGTACCTTTCTTTTGTGGAGGTAAAGATCTTGTAGTCTCCAGATAAAGTCCAGCAAAGGTCAGATTAGAATGACCAACAGAGAGATCCCCGACAACTTCAAAAACTACCTGTTCTGTAGAACCAGTAGATAAGTGGATACATCCATTAGAAGAAATCGCCCCGGATGAACGAAGGAGAAAAGGGATCATTCCAATCCTGACCAGTTAGCAGGACTTTTTGTGGAGGACAGGTTTGTGCATTGCCTAAGTTCCAGTCTCTCTGAGGAGGTGGACTGAAAAGTACTGAGGAAAAGCACAATCCCTACAATCCCACAATGCCTAAAAGAGTTTAATAGGAAATTATCTACTTTACATAAGGATTATAGTGATATCATCTTGTGTTTAGCAGAAACTATGAGAGTCTAGGACAAAGACTTTGGAAGCTATAAGGGGAAGCCTGAGCATTCAAACTGCAAAGAGATATAAAAAAAAGGAGCCAAACAGGATGACCAAACACTCCCACATACAAAATTGGAGGTGTGCCTCTTATGCAGAGGGCTGGGTAGAGGAAAGAGAGGACTCCAGTCCTCAAGATCTGCTGCTTCAATGCAAGGTAGACTGTGATCATCTACAGGGAGCTACTGTAGTAGCAGATAAAGAATGGGGTTCCTCTGCCCCATCCCAAGATCTCCTGCATTGATGCAGGTGCACAAGTCCAAGCATCAGGAATAACAGTGTCAAGGGCAAAACCAAAAGATTTAAAGGAGAAGTGTGGGAAGAGTCTGTTTAGAGCCAGTATGGGACACTGCAGCTGTCACACGCCAGCTCTATACTGAGAACTGTGTGATCATGTAACCGCTGATCGTTCAGCTTTTGGTCTCTTCTCCCACCAGTCACTGCTCACCGCAGGATTTCCCCTACATGCGGTGAGGGAGGAACAGACAGGGGAGGGAAGCCAGCTGCCACTTAGGCAGCCAGGGTGGATCCTGTGCATCTGCATAGTTTGGGTCACAGGGGTACATTAGTAAATGTACTCCTGTGACCCAAAAGAGAAGTAAAGCCAACTAAAAGTTTTGGCTTTCCTTCTCTTCTCTTTTAATGTAAATCAAATGTTCGTTAAAATAATATTCCACCTTTTGGACCATGTTTCATGCCACACCCATATTTAGGCTAATCAAACTCTGTCTGCAGGTACCAGACAGTGCAATCCAAAGCTTAACATTGGTTAACTCCACCAAGGCAAATCCCATTTGCTGATACACTTACAGAAACCTGCTCATTCTTTTCCAGTACACGGACTATTTAGGAATAAAGGCCCCTTTCAATTCAACTTCAATAGCAATGTGTGTGGGCAGAGAAACAAATCCATGTGAGAAAAGTAGGGCAGAATGAAGAGGTATTTATAATGACTAGTGCGCTAAATGTCATAAAAAGCTGTAGGAGAACAGAACTGTGCCCTTCTAGTTACACTACACTCTAGTTACCAGAGCACAGCCTTCACAGTCTACTGTTTCAGCGTGTCAGCAGCTGCATAGAGCTGAGACTTTCACATCAAATGTACATCAATGCAGCACATTTGTGTGAGCTGGGTTTATAGGAAACAATGCATTTCAGCAATGCAGCTCAACAGACATGTGTATGGTCCCTGAAAAATAAGGAACCATGTTTTAAAAAAGTTTGTAGGAACAGCAATTATCCACTAAAGTATAAACAATTTACAAAGGGTTGGTTCAACACCCCTCCATTGGGATGGAGTAAAGCAAATTACTTAGGGCTAGTTCACATCAACCGTGTTCAGGCTGCACTGGCCTTTTTTTCCAGCGAAGCCCGAACGCAAGACGAGGCAATTTGCATCGTCATGAGTGGCGACAGTTTACATCATTGCGTTCTGGTGGTGTGTGCCTCAAGTATGGCATGCAGTACTTTTTTGTTAATTGAACCATAGTGAGATGCGGTACAACCGCATTGCACTGCGATGAGCCCAGAGGACTTAATGAAATGTCACTTGTGCACTTTGCTCCTGCCTGCAAGACAAAACGGCTGTGAACACACATGTCTAGGTGGATATTGCTCTCCATGCAGCACCATGTGTCTGAAGACAGCTGGAGATGGTTTAATCAGCCATCAGCAAAAAATGTCTGCAAAATGTTTAAGATTGCAGTACTGCTTTCAGAGCAATAGGAACAAGGAAGAAGTGAAAGGCTGTATCTGCAAAACTGCTGGATTGCTGGGTAATTAAAGAGTGAAAACAAAAGTTAAAAAAGAGCACTTATTATTTATCTTAAACAAGTAAAAGCAGTATATATTTAAAAAAAAAACCCAACTGTGTTAATGTAGTTTTTTCACTGGAATGCATACGAGCTGCACAATGGTTTTTCTATATACTTATACTGAAGGCAATGCTAAACACCCCTGAGCTAGCGGCACACCGGTATGAATTTCCAGCAATCCAATGCTCCCCTTGCACAGTTCTCCAATCAACAATGCTCACACTCTCATATCAGTGCTTTTGATTGGAACACTGCACTCTGTGATAATGTCTGTTATATGCTTTACTTTTTAGGCAGCCTGGCTACATCCCAGTAATAAAAATCCATGGGCTCAATTGTGCTTTAATTTGAAATGTAATAAAAAATACATGGGAATAACCTAGCACAAACTGTTATTCAATGAAAGCTTTCAACAAAGCAAACCGCAGCAACAACTAAAAGATGACTAGTTCATAACTTTTACCTTTTCTTTGCAGCTAGATAGCATGCTGATTATGCTAAGACACACGGATTGCACAGATAGTGCAGGAGACCAGTCTTCCGTTAAAATAGATAAACAGATATGACCATTGCTATAAACATGAGGATGGACAGGGATATTATCACCAGTGAACATAACCTGAAAAATAAAACAAACAATGGCATTTAGAACCTCAGAAATATATTACAAGTGATATTTGTAATCAGCAGTACAGTTGCTGGTGGGATCTACTAGACTGCATTACTCAGGGACCCCAGTGCTGAGATGGATACCCCCCCCCATCCATGCTCCTGGAATATCCATGCTGTGCAACCCAACAGGGAGTGGCTGCTGGAAACCCTCCTGGCCAGTCCCCAAATCTTCTGTGTCACTCCTATGGAAAGGCTGTATATGACAGGGTCACAAACTATGTCAACCCAGTCACTAGTTGTGGCAGATGCCGGATTACCCCTGCCAGCCACTAGTGTGTTCCAGGGACACAGTGGTGTAGTAGTAGCTGGTGGGTAAATCACAGGTCATGTTGGGGAATGCAGACACCCTATACACCAGGCAGTGCGAATGCTGGGGCTTGTGCCACTGACACAAGGAGCAGACAGGCAAGTAATATCTTTCTTTCGAAATATGTTTTTTATCCTTTTTATTTCAGCAGCAGGGTTGCTTTAGGTGCTCTGCCACTTTTATCATAGTGTTTCACCTTATGCATTATTCCCTTCAATGGGAGAGCGGGACCCCATGCAATTACCACATCAGATAAGTTGACCTGGAAAATCAGGTGCATAAATCTCACTGGTGGAGTTCATAAGAGGTGAAAAAAGCTTGTATGTAATTCAGTCCACAGACCTCCCAGCTTTACCATGATTACATACAAACTTCCCTGCACATCATATCCAATCCTGAACCAACCCGCAGTGGTGACTCCTGACCTGCGCCTGAATAAACTAACTTGGCCTTGACAACACCACGAGTCATACAGCTAAGAGTGTAATCAAGGATCCCGCCTCACTAATCAGCACTCATCAGCTACTGCACCACACCTTCCAACAGTTGCTCTAGATACAAATAATAATATATCTACTTGTGGTTAAAGCTCAGCTCTGGCCTCATTTTAGTTTTGAACACAGTGGGAAGCTTTTCATTGTGGTCTGCACCACTTTGGGGAGATTTGCCCTCACTTCCTGCATGATCATTGCCAACAGGGACAGAGAGCATTACAAATCTCACAACGGTTCCAATCCTTTGTATTCAGGCTCATGTGTCTGTTTATTTTAAAAGCACCCCCAGTGTTAAAGGCCCAGGGCAAAGACAATTTTTTAGCTATATGCTTGTTGGCAATTCATTTTACACCAACTAAGATAACATTTATGGAGGATATTTTTTTTCCCCATTACCTGAGGGGAATCAAAGGGATATCGACTGCTGAACTTAAATAAAAGCTGAAACTTCTCTCCTTCATATAATGTTCCTGGTGCTCCTTCCATATCTACAATCCACCTGTGAAAATAAAGGCTATAGTTAACAAACAATTGACAGATTATATCATACCAGGACAAAACATAAGATAACCAAACAAAACAAAGCCTGGCTCAGAAATGTATTCTGCTTAGAACTGACATTGGGAAAAATGCACATATTTCGTGTTAAGAGCATGCATGATATGACGTTATATGCAGGTTATTTAGGACTGCTGAAAACACACCCCCTGATAATGCCTTCATTTTCATTTCTTCCCAGAAGTGTCGGCACTTGCTTCGTGCATCATCCAGGATCAGCATCTACTTCCTGTTTACATTGGGACTACAAAGTAAGCAAAGCCCCATTGATTTTAATGATTGATTAAAAAAAAAAAGAAAAGAAAGTGTCTGGAAGAGGAAAGCCTGGTCACATGACCTGGTTTTATTATTGCAGGCTGCATCTTATGAATGGCATGAAAATTACAGAATGCAGCGTGGGGTAAACACTGTGGCATCTGCTGGAGAGCAGTATCTGCATTCCATTATAAAGAGAGGCCTTTGTGTAACAGAAGGATGTTTGTGTTATTTGGGAATTCACAAGTAATAATATTGAAATTCGCAAATGATTCACTTCCTTAAGAGAATGTTAGTTGTCTGGCTGCTATCTGACCCTCTGGCTTCCATCATTTCTCAGGCATAGGCCAGGCACAAGTATGGAGGTCAAGTAAATTCACACTTGTTTTAAGTCAGTGACTAAATATTTGAACAAGGTGGTCAACATGAAAGCCAGGAAAATAACATTTTCAGGAGGGCTCAATGGTGGCAGCACGCAGGGTTCCTTTAATGTTACTGGTGTGATTGTTCACACGTCAGTGGTTATAGTATGCATGCTCATGTGGAAAAATGCTCCAATTCTCTCCAGTCACAGGAATTGCTGCATGCTTTCTTTTGGCTCATGGTCCTCCGAGCATAAGCCCAAAGTAACTGGAGCACGCATAATCTCTCAACAGGCATGGCATACATAGCATGTGTTCATAACAGACTAAGTAACTGGGATAGATGTGAGTTCTCATTTCTCAAACATGAATGTGATGTACTGTACAGGAACTGAAGGGTGCTACATATATGGCAGTGTAAAGTGGTGGCATCACTTCTTCCAAGGACTGCCGGCAGTTTTCATTTTTAACACTTCATGTCACATCACATTGGCAGGTTTTCTGCTGGCCACAATCACATCTCCAAACAATTGGAAAATATGGTTCAACCCTACTCCAGACATGTCCTATATGCAAGGCCGGCGCTAACGTTAGGCAAAAAAAGGCAGTCGCCTAGGGCGTGCTGCCGCCCAGGGCGCAGCCAGCCAGGCTTCCCCCACACTCCGCCCAGCATGCTGGATCATCCGCGCGCGCTCAGACTGGCACAGTTCCTTGTGGGCGCTTGGAAAAGCTGTGCACCCGCGGCTGCAAGGGACTGTGCCCATCTGAGCGGACGTTGTCCTATACGCCTCATAGCTCCGGAGTCTCAGAGAGATAACTCCACCGCTGTACTGTGGATGGGTGAAGTGATCTCTCTGAGACTTCTGAGCGATGAAGCATCTGCAGCGTCCTGTCCTCCCACCTTGTACAGTGCTGACTCGGTGGGAGGCAGGGCGTTTTGTGAGTCCCGGACAGAGCAGGCTGCGGCGCTGTGTGAGGAGGTAAGAGGGGTGGTAGTGTGTGCGTGCTGTGTTCTCTCTTTCTCTCTCCCCCTCCATCCTCAGAGCCAGTATCATATTTTATGAGAATGTAAGTTGCTATGGCTTACATTGCTCAGCAAAGTAACTTGTATTGTCATAAAATAAACGATTGTTCAGTCTTATACAAGCACAAGAATTTCTAGAGACCCTCTGCACCCCTCCTGAGAACCTCTGCACCCCTCATGAGACCCTCTGCACCCCTCCTGAGAACCTCTGCACCCCTCATGAGACCCTCTGCACGAGACATCAGGCCAGAACAGAGCAGCAGCCCAGAATGTAGAAAATCCATATAGTATTATTCTGCATTGCTGTGATTTGTAGTTCTCAATAGCTGACGGTACTGTCCTGCATTGCTCTATAATGTATTGCTGGGATTTATTGTCCTCTATAGCTGGTGGTATGCTGCATTGCTGTATAAATTTAATAGTTCCATGTTTTTGATTTTTCAAAACAGATTTGTAGAAAAATATGACTGACATTTGTACGGGTTTTTTTTTTTCAGTGGGGGGAGGGGGGGTGGGGGGCGCAAGGAGCTGGTTCTTGGGTAGGGTGCAAAATAGACTCTATGTATTGAAGGAAGCTTGTACTAAAACATACAAGCTGCAAGTTTAAGTAAGCAAACTGGAAGTCCTCATGTCATTGTCAAAATTCTTGTTTCAAGGTCACAGTATAGAACCCATTGCAAATAACATGTTCAGAAAAACTCCCGCATTCTCCCGGCAGGGCCCCAACTCCCGCATTCTCCCGGCAGGGCCCCAACTCCCGCATTCTCCTGGCAGGGCCCCAACTCCCCCATTTTTCCAACTGGGCCCCAACTCCTGCATTTTTCCAACTGGGCCCCAACTCCTGCATTTTTCCAACTGGGCCCCAACTCCTGCATTTTTCCAACTGGGCCCCAACTCCTGCATTTTTCCAACTGGGCCCCAACTCCTGCATTTTTCCAACTGGCCCCAACTCCTGCATTCTTCCAGGTAGCAAGGCTGCAGTGGTTTTTTTGCAGTTAAGATTGATTTTCTGATAGCACGGTTCCTTGCTGCAAAGAAAAAAAACAATTAAAAACACAAGGCCATTCAGAATACTTCCTGATAAAGGCTTAATCAAAACTCTATTGAACTGGCAATATTTCTTATTAAAATGAGACTATAAAAAAAAGTCACAATAATGTTCTCATCTTTCCTGAGTGCTAGAAAATAATATCTAAATATATCCAACTACAGTGTCCATGTTAATAACTGTACACTATAACCTGCATTCACAAAGCACCTTAAAGCAACTCTCTGGCCAAAACCTACTTTTTAAAAATCTGGATAAAATAAGGAAAGGTTAAAACCTCTGCTGTCAGTGTGCCCACTGGGGAGATTCCCCTCACTTTCGGTCCCATGACGGCCTCTTACCACCAAAGATTGTGGGACGTTTCCGCAATAGGGGCAGAGTCAGCAATATAAAAATCTAATGAAAAGTCTAACCCTGTCTGGGTTGCCTAACAATATACTATTTTATTGCTGCCTGTGACTATATGAGCAACATGCTCTTACTCCTTCTTCTGGTCTGTCAACAGGACAAGGGGTAAAAGGAAATATCCCCAAATAGGACAAGGGGCGATAAAGGTTCAAACCTCTCCACACCCTATCCAAAGTCAAACAAATTGACTAGAGCTCAATTTTAACTGAGCTATATCACAGTATACTACCCACACTGAGATGCTTTGCACGTATAGTGCCTAATGTTATCTTAACACATTTATGTGCAACGCTTTTACAAGAGAGGAGCAGCTCAAAAGCACCTTGTCAAACCACATACTTTTAAGAGCTTTAACTAGGTGCTAGAGGCCCCGGCCTACACAATTTATATACTTTGCTTATACTGCGGTACTTTCATGAGTCAAATTTTCAACCAGAACCCTAGTTCGTTCTTCTCTAGAAATATGGAGCACACACACAACCACAGCGCTCAGCTCAGGGTCTGCCACAGCAGGGTAGCTCTTAAGCTGGCCATACACTGTACAAATTTCGGCTGGTTAATGGGCACCCTTGATCAGCTGATCAAGGAGCCGGTTGAAATACTTTCAACGGACAGGTGGCCGCAGTCAGAATACAATGGAAACAGCGTGAGATTACTCAAATCAATGCTTGTAAGTGTTGATGGAGGAACCTGTAATACTTTCTGCGTTGAATGAGGAAAATATTACATGGTATGGCCAGCTTTATTCTTGGGCCCCATATATACAACTGCCAGTAATAATGCAGAATTCCAGGTAAATAAAGCCCTGCAATACTCCGCTTCATTTGGCAGGAAAGGTGGCATTTCATTTATTGATTAAGGGTGAAGTTAGGGTTGACTGTTGGTAAGTGTTTTAGGGGTTAGATAATGGTTGATGTGAGTTGAACCAGCCAAACTTTGCACAGTGGGTGCCCCTGTTGGCACCGTTCTGCCTGGCATCCGTTGAAAAGAAGATCAAAAGAACCGGATGGAAAATCGTTGGGCGAACAGCGATGGCAGCTGTTCAAGTATTCTAAAAGCAGGACACCCGCCTAAGTTAGAATACAAAGGACGCAACAGGACATTCGTCCAACCACTTTTTATTTTTTTAAAAATCGAATCCAGCTTAAAGTGACAAACTCATGAGTTAAATCTCAAAAATACATTCAAGTTACCTTACCTATGAACAAAAATGTATCTTATTTCTGTGTCACTCGGCTGAGATCCTCAAATCATTTCTGAATTCACGCTGACACTGTCCTTCCTTCTGGAGGGTGGCTACTTTTATTTCCCATGGTCCCTGTGTGTGTTGTAAAGTAGTCAGTGCTCCAAGCTCGCTCCCGCGATGGATAGTAATAGATAAGGTACTTGAATGCATTTTTAAGATTTAACTAATGAGTTTAGTGTCACTTTAAGGGCTCATTCATACCAGCCCACATGCAGAAATGGGTGGATGGTGTCTGATGTGTACGGGTGATGCTTTGCAAAGCACTATTTACATTTTTTTTTAAACATTTCTAATCTGCATTTTTGGTGGAGTGGCTGAAAGTATTCACAGCCAGCCAGGGAACTAGTATTTTAGAAGGTCAGGAATGGCAGCCTTTAAATATCTCTCAGTACAGGCTTTGTTTTTTTTTTAGAACATTTTTGGAGTTAAATGAAATCCACATTGGCTGCCATTACTGAACTCTTCTTTGAAAATACTAGTTGCCTGGTTATGTTAAGAAGAAAGATTGAACACATTATGAAACTGACGAGGAACAATTATGCAAATTCAACTTTAGTCTCACTTCTGCACCGAAATGAAAATTTCAAAACCGAAACTA